AGCATAAATACTCCCAGCAGACAGGGTCTGAGTTAGTAACACAAGTACACTGTAAGTCAGCCATGAATCATTGTCAATTAAAAAAACATTGACTGAGTGAAGAATATAGGAATGCAAAAATATAAAAAACAGTGAGAGTGTTTGGCAAACGATTTTTTAATGCTAATTATCATAGTGTCTTGCCCAGTTTTTGCTTCAGAGTTCAGTGGCATATAAGATAATATACCAAATAACTGCAAACAAAGAAATCTCCTTTCTTTGGTTTATTAGCTGCGCAGCCTTGGGAGACACTTTCCTCTCTGAGTCTGTTTTTTCAAAGATAAAGTATGAATAATGCAAAGGGCTATTCAGAAGATTATATGAACTCACATATATAAAGTCTTGTAAAGTCTTACACATAAAATAAGCAGTAATCAACTAATAGTAAAAAATACGGACTTTACAGACTATTCAGGGATGAACAAATGTCCTCAATTGTACATGTACAAAATCAGAAGCAATTAAAGATTCAGAAGGTCCAAATTATCTTAGCTCATCAAGAATATAGTAGGTATAAACAGATGTTAGCTCACGAAGCATATAGCATACATACAAAGCCTGCTCAAGACCCTCAAACAGGAATTACATCCAAAAATACTTTTAAATTGGGACTAGTCATTAAGAAGAGTGTGGGATAGGTTTCAGAAGAATAAAATGAACACTACACTACAGTTGAGGAAGTAAGTATACAGAGGGTTCACAGAAGTGTTTCTAAACAGGACGTGCTACTCTCATCTTGTTTTTTTTAGCACAGTTATAGAGTAAAAGAATCTGGAGTCAGATGGACATGAGTTTGAATCCTGGCTCCATTCTATGACCTTGAGCAAACTACTTCACAGCTCTACATCTTGAGTTTTCTCACAGTATAATAAAAGCCAATAATGGTACATATCTTGTTGGGTGGTTTGAAGGATTAAATGAAACAAAGTACATCAATGTCTTGACTAGCAAACATTAGCTGTTGTTACTTAAGGAATGTTCTTTCTATAATTCCAGGCAAAATATCAAATACTTAGTGAATAATCAAGGCACATTCATATAATAAGGATAACATAAAACTCATTCAAGCCAATCCAAATATATTATTCAAAGAGGAATATAAGCTATTCTTGTTCATTGAATACTTGCAAAAAACATGGTCGATCTGTAAAGTTAGACGAGCAGTTCTGATACAACTCACTTTTCTTTCCCTTACTGTGTCTAGCACAGAACCTTGAAGGTGGTTGCTACCAAACATCTTGCTTATGATAGACAGGTGGGCAATAAAACTGAACTGAATTTATTTTTAGGCAGTCAACTTGAAGAGTGCTGTTTTGAAATTTCTTTCATAGGTAACAAATTATTTAATTCTCTGCTTTAAGATAAGAGCCAATAGAGTGGGTCTTGGAGACATTATGACCTACAAATGAATCCTGATTCTGAAGATGAATATTGACTTTACACAACACGTTCCAGGGCAAGTTAATCATTCTTTCTTCTTTCCTTATTTTTTAAGAGACTATGTCTCAGTGCAGTGGCCCAGTCATAGCTCACCTCAGCCTCACACTCTGGGCCTCAATCTCCTGAGTAGCTAGGACTATAGGTGTGTGCCACTATACTTCGATAATTTAAATTTTTTTTGAAGAGACAAGGTTTCCTTATGTTGCCTGAACTCCTGGTTTCAGGTGATCTTCCCACCTTGGCCTACCAGAGTGCTGGGATAATAAACCTAAGCCACCATGACTGGCCCTTCCTTCTAGGCTTCTTTGTTCATGAAATTGGAAGAATAGGAATGGGTTGCTCTTAGCACAGTGCCTGGCATATGAACAGTGCTCATTTGACATGTGATTTATCCCAAGGTTCAGGCAAAAGAACCTAGGGAAGATCAATGCACCTAGACGCTGGAAATGTTTCAAATTCTAGTGTCAAAGAAGACATACATAGTTTTCTCTCATGAATGGGAACACGCTTCAGTATCAGCCCTAAAGACTCCACAGCAGCTTGTACATATTTTCAACCATATGGATCTTTTCTTCTGTTATAAACTATATTTAGGACATAGAAAACTTTCACATTGAAAACACTTTAGAAGTAAGCAGAAATTTTTTTATAGAATATAAAAATTTTAGAAAATAAGTGCATTAATGAAATGCATTTAAAAATTCATGTATTAACAACTCAGTTGAGTCTATTTGCTTTAAGCAAACTATAATGTTCCTGAATTAACTGACTCTGATTTTGCCATAACTAAAACTTGGCTGATCTATCACTGTTCTGCAGTGTGATGTAGCTTGTAGAAGAAAATACAAATTTTAATAGAAAATATGAAACTGTTTAAAAATCCAGATATCATATTCACCTTCTGGCATTTTATTAATCACGATAAGTAAAAATATAATGAGCTATGGAAATTTTTAAAAGATGATCGTAAATTTAATAATTCACCAGATAATTTTTCAACACTTAAATATTATAGCTTATGAATCTATTTAGAAATACAACTGTGAGTTTTAAGTAAGAGTATGACTAAGGATAATGTCTTAATTACATTTTTACCTTAATTTTTCTCTACTGGTAGAAAATTAAAACTGTGAGAGTTAAGTTTGTTACATCACAATAATTTATTTCTTTTTTCCCTTTATCTTTTGAATAAAGTAGTAATTTTCAAAATTCTCTTGTATTTGTGTACACTCGTATAGAAAATTAATAAAGGAACTTTTAAGATTAGCTGTAGTAAAATGCTATACCTTCTTAATCAATTACAATATAGAATTTTATAATATTGCTCTTTACTAGAGAATTGGCTGACTACAATATTATAATTTTTAAATTTCCAATTTTAGTTAATGTAAATTTCATCAAATTTGCTATTCTTTTTACCTAATAACGCTTTGGCTTTGGATGCTATAATGGACTAAAAATTATGCTTTTCTGTTTTATATACATATAAAAAGCTGAACGTGTTGTGCATGTTTTACACAGTACTCTCTGTCATACATAATCAAGAGAGTTAAAACTCTTATTTGAAGTATTTTTTGGCTTACATTTCCAATGCCTTTAAGAATTTAACAGGACAGAAAACACTTTTATGACTGTACTTACAGAAAAAGGATGCATACGAGAAATGTGGACTGCAAAATTTCATCACATTTATTTTCTAATTTATTTTCAAGTTTGCAATGAGATTTAACCACATAGGAAAATCTTAGAAAATTAAAGATATCAGGAAGGTTTAAAGGCTTAAGTTAAACTGAACAAAAATTGTAAATGTCACTAACCCAAAGCATGCACTGCTCCTCTATGGTTGCTGGAACTCTTGCTTGTTTTAACCACGGGGACAGCATTTTCTTTGAACTGCAGCTCACAAAAATTTTCAAGAAATTTTGCCATTTCTTCTGTAACAGTATCCAGGTAAGTTTCTTTAATGAATTTCACTGTTGAAGATGGAGATAAAATTTCACAGAGTATGTTAAAATCCTCTTTTAGCATTGAGTATAACTTAAGCATTGTATTTTGATATCCGTGAGCTATTATGTCTAAATTTGAATCTTTGCCGTAAGAAGGAAAGAGGTTCTGCAGAAGTTTAGCCAACATTTTATGCTGTATATTTTTGTACTTGATTATAACTTCCAATTCTGGATAAAGAAACAAGAGTTGTTGCAGGCAATGACTTTTCAATAAAATGTTTTGCTGTGAATTGTTTATTTCATCGTGGCTTTGCAACTTCCTCACTAAGAAGCGTCGGAGATGCAGTCTGACATCGTCCCACATAGACTTCACGTCCACAGAGGGCTGATCCGCAACACAGGGGAGAGGAGTCCGAGAGAGGGAGCGGACAGACGCCCCGCTCAGAGTCGATGGGGACGAGAGGCTGCTTTGGCAGGAGAGATCCCAGAGTAAATCGAGTATCATTTCTTCTTGATTTTGTTCGTTCTTCAACAAATTTTGCTGATAAAATAACAGCATTAGAAATGTGATAAGTCTAACTGTAACAGGAAAAAAATGATTTCTATAGTTACATCAAATTTCATGATACTTTACTTCAATTTAGAATTAATACTATGAGGCTCCTCAAGATTTCTTCTTTTTTTTTATGGTTTGTTTTGTATTTGAAATTTAATCAACTCAAATATCTTAGAATACTAGGTTTTATGGTCTGTTAAATTTTGTAAAGCCCCTCTGATTAACTATCTTTTCAACTAGAATTTCAGACATAGAGTCACTCTCGTTGTTACCCACCCCTGACAGAATCCAAACTGGAGGAAAGATGCAGCTTAAAAATTCCAAATACAAAACTATAGTGAAACATATATTGAAATGTATTCCTAAGACAAAATGAATTCAAGATTCTGCCCCTAATTAATTCCTGGTAGACTATTTTCATGCCTGAATAAGTATACTTATTACTCTAATATAAAACCCCAAATGATAATACAATGTGTTAAAATTATTCTAGAATAGAGATCGTTAAATATAGTATGTGCCTAGGGGTTACTAATAGCTATTATCCTGAGAAATAAAATTTAATACATTGAAAAATTTTGACTTTCCTTTGGATTCCTTTTTGAGAATCATGTTAAAGATTTTACTATGAAAATTAATATTTCACTTCTCATCAAAGAAATAACTAACTTAAAATGGGGGAAAGATACTCTCACAATCATAGCCCAAAAGATGATATGAAATTATTCCTTTCTACTGCTGTCCTGACAGAAAACAATGGTAGGTGTATAATCATGGACAGTAAGGAGAAAAAAATTACTTTTTTCTTGGACTTTGAATCCTACACACACATTCTCCTTACATGCTGGCTTTCCTAATTATGTCAGTTTCAGCTAATACTGAAGTTAGTTTATATTGTATAAGCTGAAACAAGATGACCACAAGAGAAACAGAAGCACTGGCACCCAATGTGCACATAGTGTGTCACTACAGGAAAAGCAGTTTTCTATCCACTGTCTAGTTTATTCATAATGAGAACATTTTGCCATAGATTTTTTTTAAAACCCAATTTAAAATAGGGGCCCTAAAGTGAAGCATGCGTCAGTGAATTTTCAGAGGTCACATACAACAAGGCACAGAACTAAGAGCTGGTCCCAGGCTTCACTCTCTGCCTTCTTTCTCCTGCCCCCAAGAGAGCCACAAAGTACATGGGACCTTTCTATAGCTGCTTTCTCCAGCCCTTCCCATGTTTAGTTCTTCTGACATTTTTGGAAAAGAAATCTTAGATGAAGTCCGGGACCCCTCAGCGTTTTGATAAACTGTATAAGGCAAATAAGTCATGTTAGTCCCTCACTCAGCCTTGGATGTCTTGTAAGTCAGTCAATAGCTGTAAATTTTTGATCAAACAAAGAATAATCGATTCCAGAGGTTTAAAATATGTGCTCAGTATGATTACTTAAATTTTGAAAATAACTTCAGTATAATTGCCATAATCAGAACCTGTTTTTTTTATTTGAATACCTAATTAATAAAAAAATTCCTATGGAAAAAATAGATATAAGAAAAATGCCATCAAGATTGACATTTTAGCATGTAGAAACTTGATAATAAGGTCATTTTAATCTGTACTGTTTTAATAATGTGGTTTCTTCCTTAAAACAACATGATCAATTATGTAAAAAAAGCCTAGGTCTGGAACAAGTCTATCAGTCTAATGAATTTGAGCAAAACTAAGGTGCCCTTTGTCCTGTGGTGAATAGAGAATGACTTTAGTGTGACAGATTAAGAGATAATTAAAAGCTTTTGCTTTTAATTAAAAGAGAAAGCATTATTACATCAATATTAATGAAATTCAATACACGACTCTTAATAAAAATTAAAGGAATAACTATATCCATGTATATGGATTGATTCTTCAAGGCTCCACCTTCAGGATATAACGGGTGAGGGGATTTTCTTAAAAGAATAAGGCTTCAGGGCACACAGTCCTTCCTTTGTCCTCATTACTTTGTAAACATTAAAGGGACATCTGTAACAATAACGACAGCCAAAAACTATTTTAATCTGATTCTGTCATCCTAAGCCATCTACAACCTCAAGATATTTTCCACATCTGCCTGAGTCAATGTTTGATGTTTAGACAAAAACAGTGCCTTTTTTTTTTTTCATAAATTAAATTAAAACCATAGCTATAGAGATACTGCTAACAACTGGGCTCTTTAGGATTCTGTTTTTGCAAACTAGGTACCTTGTAGATACAGGTGTGATAAAATAACTGTTTTATTGAAGGTTACAAAAACTTCTCCAACATAGAGGGTGGTCAATATCAAAGAATGATCAATGTAACAATTTTCCATCAAGGAACAGTGGTTTTATCTAAATTGCCACCTTGTTGAGTAAGAACTGAGTATGACTGCACATGGGGAATACAGAGCCAAGGCCACTTAATAGAATCGATGGAGATCTTATTAGGCTTAATAATGAGCATAGACAAAGAGAACAGTTGTGAAGGGTAGAAAATATAATGAATATGAACTTCTCTGGGAGACAGCTGTGGTACACATCAATACATTTTGTAGTATTGATGGGGTAATCTATCATACCACAAATTATATAGAAATTATAGTATGTAGTCTCTGTTTATATACAATTTCTTTTTATTGATAAAAACCATAGTAAAAAATAAAAACAGTGTAATAATTTTCCATCATGAATAGTAGTTTTGCATAAATTGCTACCTTGTTGAATAAGCTCCCTGGAATCTATTGGGAATATAAGAGCAAAACAAAAAGTACAAACCCCTAGATATGGCAGGCTAATATGGTGACTAAAATCAATATTTACATATAGAAATTAAATGAATTGCATTCTATCTTCACCCACCCCATCCCATTATAAAACAAGGATTCTTTTTTTACCAGTGTTTTGAGGAATTCTATCATCTCTCCCTGGGAAATGGAAGGTGACATGGATACATTATAATTACATTTAGTTAGCCATTCAAAGCAGTCAGTTGTTGTTTGCAGCTGCACATCTGGGCACTGTTTGTTAGCTTCAGACTGTATTTCTTTAATGCAATGTTCTAAGCTATAAAACAAGAAGAAAAAAATATTTTGGTAGAGAGTAGATAATGGCTCCATCTTATAATATGTCAGGCCCTGAAGTTATATGTGATAGATGGTCAGGTATAATTTACAAAATTGAAAAACATTCATATAATATGAAAATAATAAAAAAAAGACTATACATTTACATTCATGGTTGAAAACAGTTCAAAATTTTGGCAAGTAAAATATGCAATAGAGGAAATATAAAATAACTACTCAGATATGAATCAGAAATTCTTTCATGTTGAAACAAAAATCATAGAAGCAATGTCATATTTGCCCTCTCGATAGACAATAGATGAACTGTAAAAATCAGAAACATACATTATTTACTAAGAGGCAAACATAAATTATGGAAAATTCCAATCAATGGAATATTAAGAAGTCATGAGGTAGTTACAAAGAACTCGTAATTTTATTTTATTTTTTTTTGAGACAGAATCTCACTATGTTCTCGGTAGAGTGCTGTGGCATCACAGCTCACAGCAACCTCAAACTCTTGGGCTTAAGCAATTCTCTTGCCTCAGCCTTCCAAGTAGCTGGGACCACAGGCGCCCACCACAGTGCTCCACTATTTTGTTTTTTGTTGTTATCATTGTTGTTTAGCAGACCTGGGCCAGGCTGGAACCCACCAGCCCCTGTGTAGGTGGCTGGCGTCCTAACCACTGAACTATGGGCACTGAGCCAGCACTTGTAATTTTAAAAGCTGTAAAGGATACAAGCTATACATAAAATATTACTAAAGCTAAATAGCTTTTCCTGCTATCCAACTCAACTCCAAAAACAAACATAAAAATATACTAAAATGTGCAAATAAAGAAAAGACTGGAAGGAAATGAAGCAGATGGTTAATAGCAATTACATTTGGGTGATTTAAATAGGTAGGTTTTTAATTTTACTTTCTATTTTTCTAAATGCTTACTAGGTATAGGATGAAATGTCTCACTTAGAAAAAAGATAAGAATAGATAAAATATATCCAATTGAATCTTACAATATGTATCTGTTTTAAAAATTCCATTTAAGGTAACCTTAGCTCTGACGGTGTAAAATAACGGATATACTATGTTATTTTAACTTCCATATACAATTCTGCATGATTATAAATCTTTGTGGAAAATGATCATATTTATGATTATAAATCTTTGTGGAAACTGATGACCTTTAGCAGAGTGCCATCTGAAACCACGTGGATATGACATATTACTACCACCTGATGGCAGCACGTCTAAACTTCAAGGAAGCTTATAAACAGGCAATTTCCTTTGAAACTGAACCATCGCACCCAAAATTGACAGCTATACATTTGTCTCTTAATAGTAACTTTACCTATTACTACAAGGTAAAGTTTTTGTTTTGAAAATATAATTGCTATTAATTATAGGTTCCATATGATAGAACCACGCAGGTTTTAAAATCAAGCTCTGATTATTAAAAGTGAGGACATAGGAAAGACTCTTCAAATATTAATCAGGTGTGGGTTGCCTATAAAATGTACACTGTAAATTTAACTTTTTAGACTTCTGAGCATGTGTGCATTCAAACTAAATTACCTTGAAACAAATGCATTCTGAGAATCAAAGAGCCTTTTCATGAACATAAAGAACTTAAAAGAAAAACAATACCCTCCTCTGGCCATGGGCCACTTAATTTCCTGAAGGGACTATCTTATTCAGGAACACCGGTTCTAAGTCTGACCAGAGACTGGCAAGTATTTCCTTAACTTACCTAAGCACTTCTATGTACTGAGAAACACAACACCTGCCTAAGTGTACACCTTGGCTCTAGGGACCCTTTATCAAAGGTTTTTATTGTAGCATCCTCATGTGCCCCATTCAGTGAAACCTAATAGATTACAGCAATGCGAATTGGAAAAGCTCAGCAGCTAGTCTGCCTAAATCTGTTTCAATCAGGAATCAAATTTTAGGCTAATCTGTAACATCTGAATCTGGGTAGAGGCCAATAACTACAATTTATAAATAGGGTAAAGCCTTTAGAGGGCTAGATATTTTAGTAATTTGTCCAAACACTGACAAAGAAATTGGATAGTTGCATTTCAGAGGACCTCCCTCACTGATAGTTACAAACTAAGATAGTGGAGTTTCCTTTTAAAATCATTTTGTCACAAATTTTAAATGTCAGAGCTTGTTATCCACACCTGATTTTGTTTTTAGTTGGCTAAATATCTTATTGTTCTGCTAGTCACCACTGTCTATACATCTTGATCTAAAAACTTAATCAAGGCAGTGCCTGTGGCTCAGTGAGTAGGGCACTGGCCCCATATACTGAAAGTGGCGGGTTCGAACCCGGCCCTGGGTAAACTGCAACAAAAAAAAAATAGCCAGACATTGTGGCGGGTGACTGTAATCCCAGCTACTTGGGAGACTGAGGCAAAAGAGTTGCCTAAGTCTAAGAGCTAGAGGATGCCACAGCACTCTACCAAGGGCAACAAAGTGAGACTCTGTCTCTAAAATAAATAAATAAATAAAATAAAATAAAAACATAATCATTTGAAGCCCAGAGATTTCTTGTCCAATTATTATACAAAGGAAATACTTTCAAAGTTCAAGATGTCAGTTTGGAATGTAATCTGACAATTGAGGTCAAACTTAAATTAGAAATTATTTCCAACATGTAACATGTAACATTTCTGATGGGAATGATAATCCAGGATTGGAAGAATTCTATATATCATTAGACTTTAGATGATACGACGTCTTTGTCCAAGTTTTCTGTAATAACATGGTACTTGATATTATTTGGGTTTAAATGTCTTCTGTTTATAAACTGATTCAAATTTTCTTCAGAGGCAAAGTCAATCATGAAAAAATAATCAAAATAATCCAACAAATAGAAGTCTAATTAGAAGTCTAATTTACTATTAGTTCCCAAACATTAGAGCAAAAAAGAGTCTAAAAATACTAGTAAACTTTATTTCCTAAATAGTTTAAATACCCTAACTTAGCATATTAGTTGGCTACGCAGAAACATCTTTATTTGTATATTAAAGCACTGAACATATCTGAATGTCCATCAACAGGAGAATATTTAAATGATTGAATAGTTCAGTTATCGGAAAACTGTCATGAAAATAAATGAAGTAGGATTACATTTATTGGCATCAATGAATCTAACAAAATGTTGAGGGGGAACTGTACACCACACAATACTATTCACACAATTGTTTAAAAACATGTCGTATAACCCGAGGTAGTAAAAGTGTAAGGAAATTCACCTCAATTATCGACATCACTCTTGGGCAGGGTGGGTTGGAAGTGGACTGAGATTGGGGATAGGTGAAGAGAGCTTTAGCTGTACAAGTAATGTTTTATTTCTTAAACTGGACGGTGGGCACAAAGTATTTATCATAGTAGTCTTTATGCCTTTTCATATGTCTCAGCATTTCTTAATAAATTTGAACTCCAATGTTCTTTAATTGTAATGACTTTGAATTATTCAAGTTAATGATGTGTTCAAGTGGGTATATTACTGTGAGGCTGTACCTATATCAATTTATAAACTGTTTTTAAAATGCAGTATGGAGTATGCTTTGTAAAAGGAATCTATGGAAATTTTCTCGTTCAACATTCATTTCTAGATTCCCTGATTATAAAAATTGCTTATTGAATGAAGGCATTATATTTGATAAACATTAGCTGAATATTAAGTATGTGGTAGGCAGTGTGATGTATTATTAGAGATTCAAACATGAATAAGACATTGTAACAGCCCTAAAGAAATTCTGTCTTGGGAGAGAGACCTGTAAATAAATAGCTACAATACAGTAAGACTCAATCGGAGGTGTGCACAATGTGCTGAGGGCACTCACAGGAGGGAACCACTAAAAGCACCTATGGGAGTTGTTAAAAGGCTCTTCCTTGTAGAAAAGAAGATTATATGCAAGGATATTGATGGCTTAAGAAAATTTATGGAATCACTGTACTTAAAATTCGTTGACACCTCACCCCTGAGAATTTAGTGCTCATCATCTCACCTCATTGCCCTCTTGCTTTAAAATTATATTTATGTGGATAGGAAAAAATATGAATTTATTTTTACGGCCAGAACTACACTCACACATGTATGAGTGTGTAGGTATATATGCACTCTCTGACTTACAAAAAGATTTAGATGTCCTACAGTTAAACAGACCACACTAAGTAACAATAGCAGCCCAAGAGCTGTTTAACAGTGGGGGTAGGGAAAAAATTGAGAAAAATTAAAGAAAATAATTATGATATAAAATCTTAAAACTTAGCTTATTATAGAAGATCTTGCAAGATTTAAGACGATCTTTATTATTCAGCCACAAAACAGTTTAAAAAGAAATGAGCCATTGCTAAAAATTACTAGAACTTTCTTAATGTAAAGGTTGTAGTAAACACTTATCTGTGCTTTCGTTAAATGTTAGAATTTTTTTAATTTTAATTTTTTAAATCGGGGTGGAAGTGTCGCTTCAGAGTGTGAAGACTGTTTTTTTGAGTATGGAATACAACAGATATACTGATGTAGCTCTCCAAAACATTAAACACAATTTTAGAAAGCTTTTATGTTTTGATGCTCTTACTCATACTTTAACCTTCAAGTGTAAGTTAGGTTTAAGGAAAAAAAGTTTTTTCAACTTGTTACATTCATAATTCAATTCTCTTACATTTCTGTGCTTTTTTAGTTTAAAAGCACAATGAAATAGTTATGATTATATAGAATTTTCTAGTTTTTAGATAAGCACAATTTATCTAACTAGACTGCTAAAAATCCTTGGAATTAGCAGGTAATTAACACAGGGAAGATGGTTATGTATCAAAACTAGTAACTTGCAATTAAACTGTAAGTCAGTCATGAATTGAAAACTTGTCTTCCTGAAACAAAGACATTTCTGGATAATATTTATCTTTCTTTTTTTAGAGACAGAGTCTCACTTTGTCACCCTCAGTAGAGTGTGGTGGCGTCACTGCTCACAGCAACCTCCAGCTCTTGGGGC